AGAGGGGATTTGCTATTGCCATCCTCTGAGGCTGAGAAAATGCAACTTGCCCAAGATTACCCAGTGTGTTTTTATGCTCAAGCGGTGAATCAAACCCTGATCTCCAGAGTTGTAGTCCAATATTCAAACCACTACACCATGCTGGCTCTTCAACAATTTATTTCTCCCACATTAAAAAAATGAAATAAAATCAAAGCCTGAGAATATTCCTTTAAAAAAACAATGATGGCTCCCAGAATTCCCCAGCCAACATGGCCTCAAAAGCAGCTCCATATGGGATTAAAACTATAGTCACCATACTGTTACGTATCTTCTTTCCTGTTTAAAATTTAATAGCAGTTTTAAGAGTGAAGCCAGGGCAGCATGCTGGATTTAGATTAGGAATCAGCCTTTGGAGACAGAGAGGGAAATGGTCAGACACAGCACCCTCTTGGACAGTACTGCTTCTTGGAATTTCCCATTGCCACCCCAAATTTTGACATTAAATATGAAAGTCAGGCTGTGTATATCCATCCGATCACAGGACTCCCAAGTTGAATAAGAAACTATTTAGTCTACGGCTGCATCCACACTTCAGCAACAATCCAATCTGACACCACTTTAACTACCATGGCTCAATGCTATGGAAATCTGGGAATTGCAGTGTGTTGTGGCACCAGGGCTGTCTGACAGAGGGGCTAAATGTCTCACAAAACTAGAACTCCCAGAATTCCATAGCACTGAGCCATGGCAGTTAAAGTGGTGTCAAACTGGATTGTTTTTGCAGTGCGTGTGAAACCCCCATACTAGCATATGAAGAGGTTTTCTAGTTTTAAGCGACTTCCACATTCATTTCACAATCACTAGAAAGCCTCCATTCTATGCAAAGTTTATTATTAAAATATTTATATCCTGCCCTCTTGCTAAAGATCTCAGATCTAAACAATAAAACCAAATTGATGATAAAAATAAAATTATTTTAAAATCATTTTAAATATTAATATATTTTAATATATAAAAATAGATTAAACAATGTACTTGTTAAAAATTTAAGATTTAAAATCTACACTCAGGAAATAACGTGGTTGCACTATAGCACACTTATTGTGACTGTTAGCATTGTGCAATCAATTGTGTATATGCCAGTGTGCTCTTCTCCCACTGAGCAATGTAGATTGCACAAAGACAAACAAACAGTAATAAATTGTAGAGCTAATTGAGTTGGAAGGGACCCAAAAGACCATTTAATCCAACTCCTTGTCATGCAGCATCAATAATAAAGTTTTGCTTCAGACTCACCCCAAATCCGGGTCAACCAAGTGTTAAATAGAAGCAGGTTTAAAGAAACCTTAAGGTTTACAGACACACAGACCTTTAGGATGGCTAGACCCTAAAAATGGGCCAATGTGGAGTGATGGAAGGATGGAAACCAGGAAAGAGTAAGGAGGAGTGCAGAAACAAGAACAGCAACAGAACAGAAAGGCAAGAAACGAAGGGGAGGAAATAGAAAATGGGCAGTGATGGTGTGGTGTAATGTGGTGTAGTGGTTTGGGCATTGGACTATGACTCTGGAAATCAGGGTTTGATTCCCCATTCGGCCATGGAAACCCACTGGGTGATGTGAAGTTGAAGGCTTTCACGGCTGGCATCCATAGGTTTTTGTGGGGTTTTCAGGCTGTGAGGCCATGTTCTAGAAGAATGTATTCCTGACGTTTCGCTTGCATCTGTGGCGGGCATCTTCAGAGAATGGTAGCATGGAGGTGTGTGGGGTAACAAAATTTGGCTACCAGTCCTCAAAAACACCAAAATCAGGACTCAGCAAATGCAAATGAACTTCACCCAGGGTCAAGGGGTTTCCCAGCAAATAATGGACCATTAATTAAATAGACACTAATCCTCCTTACATATCCTTCCATCCAGAGGTCTTGCCACAACAGAAAAATACACAGATTTACATGCTAATCCTCTCACTCCACACACCTCCATGCCACTATTCTCTGAAGATGCCAGTCACAGATGCAGGTGAAACGACAGGAATACATTCTTCTAGAACATGACCTCACAGCCTGAAAAACCCATGAAAACCACTGGGTGACCTTGAGTAAGTCGCACACTCTCAGCTCCTGGGGAAAAAAATGATAGGTTTGCTTTTGGGTTGCCATATTTTGGGAAAGGCTTGAATGCAAACAATAAGAACATTGCCTTGGATTCTGTGCTGTGAGAAAGATGGGGTATAAATAAAATTAAATTAAAAAATTAAGTATGAAGATAGAAATATTTAGTATTTAACTAGGGGCACATGCAACACAAGAGTTTTGAAGCTAGACAGTCATAACTGGTATGCTGGTGTTGCATCTGCTGTTTCCATCTCACTGGACACATTCTACATCTGTATATTGCAAAAAAACCACAAATGTTCTGTACTTCCTCCTTATCAGGAAACCGATTTTTGGATTTCCCACCACATGGAGGAAGTGGAGCACTCAACACCACATTTTGCTTTGTGTTGTGTTATGATATTTATAACACGGAATGGAAATTTACCATGCTCAAACAAAGCTTTCCAAGTGAATAGTCATTCCTCACAGAGAGCAATCAGTGTGAGAAAATCTGCTATCTTATTTGAGAAAGAATATGGAAAGTTTACTTCAATATCTAGGAAAATAACCCACACATTTCTTGGATATAGGTTTTCGTTCAGTGGTTAATCATAAATTTGGCTCTCAAACATTTTATTTATTTATTTTTATTTTATTTATTTCATTTATATCCTGCCTTTCTCCCCAGAGGGACTCAAACATGCATCTTTTAAAGCTGGCAAACACCATGTAGCCTTCCCAATCAGCTAGCTGGGGATGATGGCAGCTGTAATACCTTCATTCCCAGCTACATCCATTTGGAAGACAGATAACTAGGAAGAT